GGGGTGTCAGGGCTCAGCGACGTGTACTGTAATGCCACCAGGGGGATTATTATTATTAGTAGTCGTCGTTGTTGTTGTACGCTAGTACGCTAGATAAGTAATACTAGTGAGCATCGCTTTCTAACTCATGACTACTGACAGTTATCAAGACATGGTGGTGGTTTTGTGTATACATACATATATATACATGCATGCATGCATGCATGCATGCATGCATGCATGCATGCATACATACATACATACATACATACATACATACATACATACATATGCTTTGGGCCTTGGGCTCAGGTCGCATCAGTCACCCTCTCCATCAGCGTCTTTGCCAAAATCCAACAGTCTGGCACAGAGGCTTCCTTGGGGGGCAGCTTCTGGTCACGACAGTTTTAAACCCAGAAGCCTGAGCTGTATGTTTGTTACCGAAGCAATACAGAATCCCCAACAGTTCCTTTCATGATTTCTCCGTGTATCACCAAAGCTTTTTCGCGTGAATCGGGACCGTACAGAGCTCTGTTCTCTCCAGCTCTTGCGACTGTGGTCAGTGCTGCTACTAGGGTTTAGGGCAGGTGCTGGGTGGAACTGCGACAGGTTTGGGCTCGTCGAGGGTTCTCATGATAAGGGTCACATAGGTGGGGGTTCTTAGCTTGTCGGCAGACCTGTGATCATGAAACCCAACAGCCGTGCAAACCCAGTGGGTTGAATCTTCCGGGTGATTTGCTTCGTCAAAGCCCTGCACCCCTGCGCCTTCGACCCTGGCCCTAGCAGGTCCTGACTAGAGCCTAGGTGCCCTGTACATGTGGCTTCCAAACCTACCCTTGGCAGGCAATATGTAGAGCAGCTGATGCAGATCGTCAGCCAAACTCCGCTGCTTGGCCATATGCGGCGCCGAGGGTCTAGTACACAATCAAACCATTTTGTAAGTTTAAGTTGCCAGTGTTCGTAACATGGACTGTAAACATGCATTTGGAATGAATATGACTGCTCTTCATCCTGTACTACTACTACTACTACTACCACCACCACCACTACTACTACTACTACTACTACCACCACTACTACTACTGCTACGACGACGACGACGACTACTACTACAGCTACCAGCACCACCGCTGAGACTAACAATGGGTAAAGACTGCGAGGATGACGATAGAAATCCGTTCTGCCGGTCTGCGGAGCAGAGCCCTGGCCGGACCGTGTCCAGGCCCGTCGATCCCCAAACCACTGCGAGACTTTCTGTAGAACGGGATCTTTTAGGGTTTAGGGTTTAGGGTTTGCGGGATTCATGCGAAGTGCCCTCTAGTAGTGCAGGGTCCCGAATTAGGGGTGTTGCTTTCAATCTAGATCCTCCCAACGGTCAAGGGCTTCGAGGGGTTTAGGGTTGAAGACGGCCTGAAACTCACACCCCAAGTTTTAAACCCAAGGCCCCCAAACCCTAAACCTCAAGGCCAGGGGTGACAGTCCGGACTCAAAGAACGCTCGTGCCTCCTTGAGCTTGATATTCCCCCCCGAATGCAGGGGGTTTTTGCCTGAAGACCACAGAGCCCAGGAGTACACAGGCGTACGATGAGCGCGACGAGAAGGATCCGAGCACGTCGGCTTTAAGCAACAAAGGGATCTTGTCCCAGCCTCCTCAATCGACGCACATGCCGAGAGGTACTTAGGGCTTCCGAGTTTGATTTACCGAATATGTACTCCAACTTAACATGATGATGATCATGACGATGGTGATGATGACGACGACAATCTTTGATACATCGTTAAAATGATGACTATTCGTAGTGCTGAGGATTCTCACTTTTGGTATCATGCTTATAGCGGTACATATTTACTTGTCATCCTGGTGTAGTTGGAGGATTCTGGCACGTAGTAAGCAGATGTAGAGGTGCTTGAGTTGCGGGGAGAGGTCACAAGACAAGTTGTCCCAGACCTTGAATCTAGACTACAGTTGCCTTCCTCTACTTACTAGTCCCCTGCTCCTTCACGCGCTGTGGTACACTTGAGTTGAGGCTTCCAAAAAAGTCTCTGAAAGCTCACGAGGCTCCTGAACTCTAAGCTCTAAGCTCAAAAGTCTATAGCCGCTACTGCTACTGCCGCTACTTCTGCTGCTGCTTACCGCCCACTACCACGAAGACTGGCGGTAAAGCTCATTGCAGTAGCGAGTGCAGAAGTAATCCATCAGCTTAAGGACTGGCCAGTTCTCTCAACCAGCGTGGCAAGACGAATGTGACAAACTTTTTGTAGGATAAGAAGGTTCCATAACTTCAGGGGGTTATTTCCCAAGAGAATAGCACTGCTAAGGCGCATAGTCTCTTGTCTTATTGGAGCTCAAACCTAACACCTAAGACCGCAAACCCAGGCCCCGAACCCGAAACCCTGAATCCGAAAGTCCCTTAACAAAAAACCTTGTAGATCTGTTGAGAAAGCAACTACAATCCCTCCAACAACAACCCTAAACCCTAAACCCTAAACCCTAAACCAGCTAAACCAGCTAAATATCTCTGCCATGGCGTTCTCCCGGCCATGGCAGCGCTGCGTGCGGCCAACGGCTCCCTGGCGGCGCTGCTGCGAAAAGCGCAGTGGCCACAGGCCATCGCAGGGGCTTGGGGTTTGTAGGGTTCAGGCTTTTTAGGGTTCAGGGTTTTAGGGTTGAGGATGCTCCGAGCATTGGAGGAAACCAAACCCCAGTAGATTCGGGGGCTCTGGCCAGAAACCTCGACACAGATTTATATAAATCCTGGGCTCCCTTCAGTCCTAAAGTCCTGAACCCGAACCTCAACCTTAAGGTTCTTGATGTCGAGTGGTTTGGGAGTGGTCTGGGTTTGCGTTGTCAGGGCTTTAGAAAAGGGTTTGCTAAACGGTGTGAAGCCCTAAATCACAAAGCCCTCAACTGAAGCCCTAAGCCTTAAAACTCCCAAACTTGCCCTTAACCTTGCAGCCTAAAGCCCTGAACCTGGAACCCTCAACCCTGAACCGAGTCTGTCGGTTGAGGCGATCGACATGCTACGCCAGATGCCGGCAAACGAGGCATCCTTTGCAATGGCATTAAGGTAGGGTTTAGGGTGTAGGGTGCGGATATCTATTTTAGGGTTTAGGCGGGTTTACGGTGTAGAGTGTAGAGGCGTGAAGAAGACTTTCAATCTGCATGTAGCAAAGTCCAGATCGATTGACGGAACCTTAAAGAACTGTCCCCGGATGATGCAGTTGCAGGATGGGTTCTCTTAGCGAAGCATCCTCAGCACCTGCGCCACTCCATCCAATTTACATGACCCACCAAAGTCTAGACGGATTCCTCAGGATCGGAAAGCTAAGCTAGGAACTCTTGCCGTCAGACATCGGGAATATGGTCGGGACATTTTGCACGTGCGTTCTCTCTTTTGCTTGGGCCTCAACTCCTGGTTTCACTCGTTTCTCAGGGCTGCTTCGCGAGCCATCTGAGTTAGTGCGTATCGTTCCAAGGACAGTAGTGGTCTACTTACTTACAACCCCGAATTATTTAAATTTCCTGTAACTCTTCTTGTGACTACCCATGAACCTTCAAGTAAGGTTGGGAAGAGTGAGAGGGTAATGATGGCTGCTGGTGTCCATGGCAGATGTGGCAGAAGCCGTCCAGTGCAATGTTCTGAGAAATACAGTGGGGGCCTCGCAGCTTGCGCAACGACGCAGTCCTGGCCTATTCGGACGGGATTGGTATGGCTACTGACAGTCGCAGGCTCTTCCAGCTGCGTAGCTTGAAGCAACGGGCAGCGTTCAGCGTAATGAGAGGCGCTGCAGCAAGTAGTGGGTTTCGGAATGCTGCTCCGAATTTTGGTCAACCTTGCTCCAGTAGTCTTCAGGATCTTCCTTTGATATTCCTGGACTGATCTGGCTGGCTCGAGTCGGTCGCGGTGAACCTGCTCCAACTTGCCGAAAAGGTTCTGGCTAATAAGACCTCGAGATTGATTTGATGTAAGACGCCGTGCTGGACCCGAGCGTTTCGTCGTACGATCGTAGATGCCTTCACCCTGAACCGACATCTTGTAGCCTCAATTCTGCTGAGCTCCATGATCACGAGCCTCAAACGAAAAGACAGGTGGAGCCTTCGGTGGTCTCCTTCAACACCACCGTCGCTGCTTGTGCACGAGGTGCAGCGTGGAGGCAGGAGGTGAACATATGTAGGCAATGATCGGCAACAGCCAAACAAGAGACCCTTGAGCCTAAAGACCACCAGCCGAAGACCCTGAACCGCAGCAGCAACAGTACTGCGGTGGTCGCAGCAGTAGTAGTGGTGGTAGTAGCAGTAGCAGTAGCAGCAATAGTAGCAGAAGTAGCAGTAGCAGTATTAGTGGTAGTAGTGGTTTTAGTGGTAGTAGTGGTAGTAGTGGTAGTAGTGGTAGTAATGGTGGTAGTAGTAGTGGTAGTAGTAATAATAATAGTAGTAGTAGTAGTAGCAGTAGTAAGTAACAATAATAGCAGGGGTAGTGACCGGATGTTTTCCGATATGTCTTTCCTCACCGCTTGTGTTTGTCCGGTCGTCTTCTTTCGTGCAATCTATCCGCATTCGTCTGTGTCGAACTCTGTTCATGCCTTGCCTCTTTCTTTGTGTGTACGCTTCTTCGCGATTTCATTCGATCGCTCCTTCGTTTCGTTCCTTCCTTATTTGCGGCCTTCTTGTCGCCTTCCTGTTTTCTGCCCTTCATTCCTTCTTTCCTGTCTTCCTTCATTCCTTCGGTCCTGTTCTTCCTTGCTTCCGTCTTTCCTCCCTGCCTTCCTGTATTCTGTCCTTCCTTGCGTCTTTATTTCATTCCTTCCGTCCTTGTTTCCTTTCTTCCTGTCTTCCATCCTTCCTCTTTCGTTCTTACTTGCCCTTGTGCCATGGGTATGAAACACAAGTACATTTCTACCCAAGACGCACCGCCTTCAAGCTCCGAAACAGCACAAGGTACAAGCAAGCAACATCAGAAAGGTTGCAACTAAGAAGAAGCAAAAGCTACAACTAGCCGAGAACCCCTGCCCCCACCCCGCTAACACCGCCCCTCCCCCGCAAGAAGAACAAAAAGACAGTCAGAAAAGGGCCTCGGCTTCATCAAACCACTCTGCTCAAACTCGAACTGGATGATCTCCAGCGTGAAGAGGTTAACGTTGGCATTGTAAAGGAATACCTGGTACCTCGGGGCTTAGGACCTGAAGGGCTCCTAGCATTCTGTAAGTAAGGGCTAAAAGTCATTTAGGGTTTAAGATACCTCGGCCATGTGAGCCCGAACGAGCACGGAGGAGTCTTTGTTATTCTCCAACCCTTGTGATGTAGCCCACGCACCCACCGCCGTTTTCGATGGTCCTCGTCCTGGTCCTTGTCGCTAGGAACTAATTGGTTGGGAGGAGTAGAACGAAGAGAAAAGAGCCGAGGCAGCAGCTGCTGATACAGAAGCCACTGTCCTAGTACTCCTCGATGCGGTGGTGGTGGTGGTGGTGGTGGTGGTGGCGGCGGCGGCGGCGGCGGTGGTGGTGGCGGCAGCGGTGGCGGCGGCATCAGCAACCGAAGCAGCACACCATCGCAATCATCGTAATTGTCCTCACCATTTCCATCATCAAGCACGTGAAGAAGCGCAAGTGCATGGACCCATCGATTGCAGCTCCGGGGCTCAAGAACCTGCACCCGATCGTCCAGCCAGGGTATCGACACCAGTGTGTCGAACTGTTCCTGCCAGCTTTCGGGTCACTGCTGGCGGTCCATAGACTTTGTGCTTTGTGCTGCCGGGTGACCAGCAAAAGCCTCTTCTCCAGCTGATACCTCGGATCTCATGGCCGGGGCTGGGGGAGGGCAACGCGGCTGGTAGTTGCCCACACCTGTATTGTGATGCTATCTGCGAGTTTTGCTGCTGCTGGTGCACTCGCGTGAAAACCTTCAAGTCGCGGCAAGCAGCACCAAAGCTGACAATCGCAGTTCAACGCAAACCGTCAAACCTGCAGCGAGGAAGGCGACTCCTCGTTGAAAGCTGCCGAGAAACGGAAACACGATGTAGTCCCACTGCATATCCCCTGTGTGAATGCATTCACTGTTCCTGGAGTCGAAGATGCGACCTCCGTGCAGGCACATCAAATCTCTTGAAGAGCAAGGAGCGGATCTTGGGAGAACGGCCAGTCCCGACAAATCACGACGACATGGGCACGTGTTGAGCTGTTGTCCAGGCTTCTACTCCGCGTGCCGCCTGAACTCCCATCAGGGCAAACGTGAGGGGAGCTGCAAACTTCGAGCAGCAGGCATTGCAAAAAAGGAAGGGGGACCTCACAGGACCTGCCCACTCAGGCTTTGCAGAAACTGCTGCTTTGCATTGCAAGGAGCCGAGGATTTCGTTGGTTGGGCACGGTGATGGCTCGTAGAAGCCCTTCGCAAATCGAACTCCAGTGATCATCTGGTTCCTTGCGCCAAGGACACGTGATGGTGTCAGGATACCTCATCCTATTGGACGCGAACCATGCAAGATGGCAAGAAGGTGCAAACCCAACCAGCATGGCATCAATTCGATTTGCATTTTGGAGCATGCGCTACAGCATGCCCTGTGGTGTCGATGACGGCTCCGGCCTCGGTGGAACCTCACTGAACGCCCGCCCTAGTGCCTGGTACGGTACAGTATCGTGGAGAGCTCTTTCTAGTGGACTTCTCGAGCTTGCCACATCGGTCGCGCACTCGACACCTCACGATATACGACCTGGAGCAAATAAAACCGCAATACCTTACATTGCGGCGCCGAAGGGCTTCATCTCTCCTCTACTGTATGTCAATTCAGCTTCTGGGACAGGCAGCGGGGGGGTTGTCAGAAACTCCAAAGCACCTGGATCAGGGGCTGCGTACAAATATCTGAACCACACCCTTCATGGAATTTTTGCTCACTGAGGACACTTTGGATTTGCAACAAGCTATTCGAGAACAAGCTTCTGCTCAGCCAACCGTCCCGCAACAGGATCATAAATGTCATCCTTGGCTGCGCACTCATACCAAGAAGCTGCTCTGGATCTGCCATATGATCTAAGAATCTAAAGTATTCTAAAGTCCTATCGCCAAAGCTTCGCCCGGGCACAAAATACCAACCCGCTAAAGAAGCCTGGAGTCTTGTCGGAAAACGGTTGGGAGGTAGTGGTCCCTGCAGCTTCGAATCAGCTCTCAGAAGTTGCGTAAGCCCAGGAGTTGGGCTGAGGATTGTCACACTCTTACTTCTTACTTCGTCGCATCCTGGTGGACACTGGCAAAGCACATGCGTTCCGATTGTGTCGAAAACAACGTGCCTACAAACGCTGTGCCTCCGTGTCCAATGATACACACTACCCGGCCTGGTCCATGTATTCAGAGTAGGTATCTCAGCTTTTGAGCTTTGGCGAGTGGACATCCAGGCTCTAGGACTGGCCAGACCGAGCCAGGTCGCATCCACGTACTTCCTCTTGGGCGTCACCGTTAGCGTCGGGAAGCGCTCCTTCGTGGATTCCCCTACATTCCAATCTGTTAACGTCGCGGAGAATCTGCAGGGAATGCAACGCAGCCAGATTGCCGCTAGGCAGTCAGCTGATGCTTCAATGCCGCCGAAGGGCTAGCAGGGCATTGTGCACACGCCAACTGTGAAAGAGGTCAATGTGTGTTGCCGCGACCTGTCACGGAGCAGTCGTAAGCTTACAGCGGCTCCGCACACTCAACTCGGATTCCAGCGCAGAGGAAAGACCAACAATCCGTACGTCACCAGAAATGCGAATGCTTGCTTCGTCCTAGCAACTCCACTTGGCTGACGGAGAAATATGAAGCTAGAGCCATGGTGCCCAGGAGAATGCAATAAACGAGCCAATCGTCATAGGCAGGGACCACCTGGACTTCTGGCAAGCTTCCGTGGATTATGTCGGCAGCCACTCAAATTTAGCCCAGCGACAGTGCGGTGCTTGTCTCGTACTCAAACTTCATCCTCAAGATGTCGTACTGGCTCCGGCGGCTTTGTGCTGTGCGTGCGACTCTTTCACGACCGCACGTCACATTTTGCTGACTCTTGGCCAGACTTCCTTACTGCTGAGCGTGACACCATTCCAAAAGCTTCTCGCGCTCGATTTGGTGCGACTTGAGCTCGACCTGCAACCGCTCTGAGGCACCGTTGGCCTGGGCCTGGGCACACCTTCCCGTTTAAGGGCAATAGGGCCTAGTCCCACTCCAGCTCATGACATCACCACTGAAGGTTACCATGCGCATCCGAGCCAAAATGGCGAGAGTGTCTGTGCCGCCTCTTTCTTGCGCAGGCCTTCTTTGACGAGGTTGAAAGCCAGAACGCCTCTGTCAGTGCCGTTCAAATCAGATGAATCTAGCCACACTTCAAAGCGACGCAATGCGCCCAGTGATACCATGCTGAGTACCTATACATTTACCCCTGCACAACCTAGACCTAGATGCTTTCTGTCCACTTGTCTGCACGCATGTGGCTAGGCCTTGCGTCAGAGCATGGTATAAATCCTCTGCCTCAGCTCAGAACTTTGGCGGCTGCTTGGTTGGACATGCTGGAACATGTAGATCAATCAACTAGGATTCACTGGGATTCAAGTTGTGGATCTCTTGCTACAGCCAGTGCTGATCACCTGATCTCCAGCAGCGTTGGCTCCCCTTTGCACTCAACACTATCTCCGTCTCAGATTCTGTGCAGTGTCCATTGCCGTCGCGGTCTGCGTCGTGGACTAACGCCTGACTTTGCGCTTCACACGGATAAATCTGAATCCGACACACTGTTCGGGGCTTCATGAGGTCACGGACCGGGGTCTTCGAGTTACCCAGCAAATTAGAGGGCCGCTGGAGCCCGAAAATAGGATCTGCCTTGGGCCTGGGACTGGGACCTCCTTGGAAGTCAAAGGCCTTCAAAGCTCTCAGCTCCTTGGAAAACTTTCATAAATCTCAGCTCTCCGCTCGCTGCGCTCGGCCTTGAGGTCCGACTCGTTGAGTTTGACGGTGTCCACTGCTTGCAGGGTCATCAAGTCCTGAGCAGAGCTCCAAACAAAAAGTCGGATGATACCCACGGCTTTCATAACGCCTGTGCGCATTCCAGTTTCTGTCTAGGCTTTCGCACGGTGCTGGAGCAAGCACACAACTCAAAGGTCAAGGCGGTCAAGGGCTGATGCACTGCATACTGTCAGCAGACTTTGCACACGCACGTAACAGACGTCACATTTGATGGAGCCTCGAAAGCCCGACTCAATTCGTTGCTGCTTCTCATGGCTGCTCTGGTTCCGGGTGTTACCTCTCCGAAGGTTATGGGCTCAAGGCCCATGTGGCCAAGCCTTCACAGATCGGCGGACAACAAGCAGGAGCTGATCTCATCCCTGCGATGGCTGCAGGACTGCATGAAAGGTGTGTGTCACCACCGACGCAATTCGCGGAGCCAACTGGACAAGGGACGCACAACACGTGATATGGCTCCCACTGGAGGCCCTGAGCGGCGCAGACGACTCATCCGACTGACGCAGATGTGGCTGCACATCAGTGGATCCGAGCCAACTGCACACGAAACTGCTGAGCTTGGTGTAAACTTCTTCAAAAGACGAAGAAGGCAGCTCCTCGTTAATTCGGCACGCAAGGTTGGCCTCTTGCGGCCCGACGTGCGGCGGCGCTTGGTTGCATGGAGCCCCTGTACTGGAGTTGTCAGAAGTAATTTTCGAGGAGACGGCCATTGTTCGTGAAGCTCAAGAGCGAGTTGGAGAGCTACTATTACTATGGCATGGTTATCTGGGCGCCACCCGGCTGTCCGCGAAGCTGCTGAGAACTCCAAGAGCAGTGTGTCAAACGGCCCACCGCATTTTAGGCTACCTTCTCAAAGTCTTGAAAAACGTAACAGTGCACCGGTCCTTGGCGCTGATGGAGACAATGGGCACTGCAATGAGTTGGTGGTGTTTGACACTTCCAGGTGCGCCCTGAACCGGTGGATCCAGCAAGCATTCGGACTGCCGAAAGATTGTCCGCCTTCAGTCCCAGGTTGAAGGCTGAACCCACCAAGTCTGCCACAGAGCGGCAACGGAGGTGGCCAGCTCCAATTCCTCTGTCGACAAAGTCGTCAGCTGCTGGCGAGAGGAGTGCCGGAGCCGCGGTGACCCATTGTAGCACACCACCACCGCTCCATGAGATCATCATCCGTGAATCACCCAGCTTGCTCAGCTGGGGACGAAACCACTGCCGTGGCAACGACTTCAAGTTCTCCAGGATCCGTGGCAGATGAACAGCCTAAGGAGGAGCGGCTGGGCAAGACGAGATCTACAAGCGATGCCTCCTCACCTGCTCCATGGCATCACGTACGTTCTGCTGCTCAAAGGTTGAAGGCACGGACCGGGTCATCAAGAAGCCTATCGAGGTGGGATGTTCTGATATTTACTTGCCGCTGGAAGTCCACATGATCGTCCTGGTGACTGGTGTGGGTTCTGTTGCGATGGGGGAGATTGCCAAAGCGATGTTTAGAAGGACGTCTTCGGCGGTGAGATTGCAACCCATGACGGTGAATTGGACTCAGCGACTGACCCGCGGCGAATGCAATGAGCTCTCAGCCACAAGCCGGATCACCGATCCCGTCACTTGGTGTTTGGAGAGTCTACGGAAACGGCCTCTTCATCCTCGCAGCCTCGAGGACGAGACTTGAGTGAGAGGAGACAGACCTGCAAGCTCAAGTCTCGGGTCTGGTTTCTCAAGCCTGTGCCAGTGTCTCACCTCCCGACGTTCGAGTTGAACGTCACATGGTTCATGACCCGTACTTGCTTGCTCCCGAACAAGCCAGTTGTTCAATTCGTTTAGAACTGCCGGGCGTGTCGAAACGTTGCCCGGAGGTGAATTGAGTGCTGCATAAGTGTGCCTTCAAAGGGAAGTCTTCACCGAACGGTGGGGTCAAGGAGAAGTGCTGATGCTGAAAAGGAGCAAGGTTGTAAACTTCCTGTGTCATCAACCGCAGACTTTGCACAAGCGTTCTACAAGTTTTGCACGTGCACCTGACAGACTTGCGCGGGAAGGAGCCCTATGATGCTTGCGAAGTGCAGGATCGAAAAATATCGAAAACCATCTGACGGGCAGACAAATTGTCGACGTAACTACGCTAAAGCATTATCCACGAGTCTTCGACGACAAGGATGACTACTCCTGCAGCGCAGATAGCTGTCACGATCACAGATACCTCTGCAACCGCCAGTTCTGCGTTTAGCGAACCAATCGAGAACGACTTATGACCATGGCTTTCATGATGAGTGCAGCCGCCTGCATGGCACCTTTAAAAATGACTTCTTGGCACTCCCTCAACTTGCTAACCCAATCTGCGTGAAATCCGACGTCCCCATATCCAACTCTGTAGGAGCTATGGATCATACTTTCAGCCACATGCCAGCACCCTGAATTGCCATTGCAAGGGGTGCCGATTATGGGAGCAGCGTTCACTATATGGTTCCGGTTACACTCCGCTGGTACTGACGGTCGGTTCCTGTTACTTCCAATTCTGGGGGAGAGCGGGGCAGGAAGCTGCTAGTTTTCGCCGGGCAAGCGGCCGTCGTATTGATGGTACCCTTTCGGCCATCGTCTAGAACGCGGAAAAGCTCCAGCGCATCCTTCTGGGTCACCTAGTGCGAGTGAGATGAGCCAGCAGCACCGATGAGCTATACGTATTGCATGAAGCCTTTGCTAGAGGAGTATGACGAGAACACATAACCTAGCCTGCAACGCTGATCGTCAACATGCTCGAGATCGAAACAGGACGATGGGAAGTCTGACCCAAAGCAAACGATTAGAGTTTTGAAGCACTGCATGACAAGTCTCTGTGAATTTAACGATTTATTCTGCAGCATGTGGGATGGGAAGAAGCGGCTGTGCCAAGAGAAAGCAGCCCTGGAGTGCTAGACTGCTGAACCGAACTTCAAAGGCAAATTCGAGCAACCACACCATAAAATGACGCCGTTCTGCAAACTTCACCCCAGCACAATCACAAGGTCAGGCATGTTCATGGTCTTCTGCTTCCCCAAAACCGAGTTGAGGCGGCTGGCCAAGTGGATGTCCCCTTCTGCAATCTTTGTCCAGATGCCCAGTTGCCGCAGACCGTCGATCCTGAGTCGATGTCTCGAGACTTGTAGAGCCTCTGAGCAGCAACTGACCTCACACCGTCTACTAATGGCATGCCTTGGTACCAAAAAACGAACTGCTGTTATGTTCTGTTGAGCACATCGCGAACCTTTCATAAGGATTGTGATGCAGTAAACCAGACTGTGGCACATGCGAGTACGTGCAGAAAAACATTGCCTGATGCACCAGGACTAGATTCTATGAATAGATGACTAGCTGCTGGACTTGTACGTGGTTACCAAGAGGCTTGTCACTCACATTGATGTCTTCCGGCATTGTCTATGCCTCGGTGTCGTCATGTAGTTAGTCAGAGAGTCTGCATGAGGGGCCGGATGCTTCGGCGCGTAACGACTTTGCCTCTCATGTGGACCAAAGCACGTTGTTGTCAGGCCCGCATCGCACTCATCGCACCAGAATCGGACAGGCCGGCAAGCAAGGTACCCCTCCCAGTCTCCGGAAGCTTCTCGATGCACAGCTGTTGCATGGAATGCTGTCTCTTAGGCTCTAAACTGTATCCTACAACATTCACAGAGTATCAGAGTGCGGATCACTGCGCCACACCTCTGCGAGCCATCTGTGCGGAAGACTCACTGGACACAACCGAGTGCGTGTCATCAAAAACCACTCAACTGCGTCAGCATGCTGTCAGAGACCCGCTTCCCCCCGCTCAAGCTCCAGTCAGTGAAGAAACTTGCATGTCTTTCCCGTGGAGACTGCGTCGCTGTGCAGCGCACGCATCAAAAGCCTGCCAGGCTCCGGTAGGTGACCTGGCAGGCCGCAGGAGCCTGAGCCAGGCCACATAGAAGCGCCCAAACTCTTGTAGCTGATTTAAGCCCGCGGCTAGGAGTTTTCTTCGAAGGACTCGCTGTCGCTGCTGTTGCCGCGGGAGGTGCCTCAGCTGGGAAGTCGTGCTTTGCGCGCTATCACGATGCGGCGAATCCCCGGCGTCTACATCGTCTACGTGACAACATGACAGAACCCCATGCCAGAGCGGCGAAAGTTCTCCCGGCGATGTGCAACAGGGCGCTAGGCTAGTGTGAGAAGAGAAATCAAGTGCTGGTGCAGCTGCCGGTGAAACTTCTGGCTTGGCTGGCCTTGGCACACAAGTCGGAAGTGTGTTCACTTCATGCGGTTTGGGTAAGATACGGATCTAGCGAGTTTATTCACATTGGCTTGCTGCTGCAGAGGCATATCGTGCGGATCTGTTGCGGGAATTTCCTTTTGCTAAGGCACGGCGTGTGCAGAAAAGAGTAAGGAGAAACCTGTTGCAATGCTACCGGTGCAGGCAGAAAGCTCAAACATTCTGTGAGCAAAAGCACAGAACATCATGGAAAAAACCGAGCGGTGACATGGAGCTCATCTTAGCAAGAGCCGTATGTGAACGGTTGCTGAAGGGACCATGGGGGGGAAATGCTTAGCTGCTGCTTGGAGTTGTCAGATTGCTGAACCCCACGAGGGAAAGGCGGAGCATGCCCAAGAAATCTTCCAGACGCCTGCGGACAGGAGGCCGCGCGGCTCAGGGCCTTCACGCTTTCTGCGCCCTGCAGCTTCTGCGCATTGGCGCGGAGAAAGAATTGATCCTCATCCAAGGCGAAAGCGAGGCCCTCGTGTCTGTGGCTCGTCGGGTTGCCCCAAAATGACATGCACTCAGCTGCGACCGGAGGCGGAAGCAACAACCAAAGATCCGAAGCAGGGAAAGGACGTGCGCCCGGGGCACCACGTGCATCAGGGCCAGAGGAACGTTGACTTTGGCCTTAGGTTACCCAAGGCAGAAACACGCTTCAGCCGAAGCCCTTGCTGCTGCATGCAGCTTTGACTCAAACTGAAGACCTATTGCGCACACTCTGTGGCAACTGGCAGCCCGCCACTAAGTTGCAACAACTCTAAAAATCAGGGAAGAAACCTTGGATGGCGGCTCCTATATCACGATAAAACCTCCTGCAGCCGGATTGCATGCATATGAGCTGTGATGGTCTCGACATCTTCGTGGATGTTGCTTAGCTGACCCTGCAGCACGGACATGTGATCCTCAGTGAGCAGACGTCGAGTATGAAGTTCATGCATGATTACCGGCAGTTCACGCAAACACACTTGCAATCTTGGCTCTACTGCAGATCTGAACAGTGGCAGAGTCTTGAATCTGAGGGCTGATCTGTCGCCCCACATACTCAAACACAGTCCGGCAGCAAACTCTGGGCGATGCGAGGCTTCAACGCCCTGAACTCAACCCGTGCCATGCCAAGGGCCCTTTACAGGCACAGAGTCTGCTTTGTGAACAGAAGTCGGGCTGCTGTCCTGATGCTCAGTAAGGATCTACAAACTGGGGCTGCCGGCTCAGAAAAGGTGCGAGCCACAGAAGCCAAAAGCCAACAGATTCAAGGAGCCGAGAGGCCGAAGCCGTGAAGCCCGAAGCCGTTGATTTGGCCCTTATCTTTAAGCTGACCCACTTTACTTCTTGGTTGATCCTCTTTGTGGTTGTTTGATTGATTCTTTTTGAATGGTTGCTACCCCTCTACTAAAGTTGATGCGGGCTCCTCCTCATCAGCACATGACCAAAGAAAGCACTGTAAAACGAACACTGGGTCCACGATGTCATCACGTGAAATGAGCAGCGGTCCTCTTGCTGGATGCCGCGAATCTTCCCTGCCACAACCTGCCGGTCAAGCTTTCGACATGGGTGACTTTGGTAGCTCAGAGCTTCCAAGAGGAAGGAAACTGCCCTTACTTCCATGCTAGGCAGATCAGCTGCATCGACAAGAGAGGGTAAATCAGGAAGCTGGCGCAGCACTGAAATCGAACACAGGGAGCACCTCACTTCACTCCCGTGAAACAGCGAACGAGGCGACGGCAGAGCCGAGTGCTGCGCCCGTGAAGCAGGAGCTGACTGTGGAAACGTGCTTGGCAAGGGGTGCGCCTGGAGTTTC